ATAATCATGACGTGAGTAATACATTATAATATATAATAATATTAGAACCATAAAATTATATTAATATAAAATTATATTAATTATTAATATAATAAATATAATTATATCAATACAATATAATATATTATAAAATAATAATTACAATATCATATTATAATTATATTATAATTATAATATCGTATTATTCAAATAATTATAATATTATTATAATATCATATTATATGATAAAATAATAATATTAGAGTTATTAATATAATTATGATATTATTTGTTACAAGATTACTATTATATTATATTATGAGTCTGAATTTTAGATTGGGAATATTGTAAATTTTAGATTTCATTAGGGGTATTATGGGTATTATGAAAGTTTCATTAATTGTACTATGTTGATTCCCGCACAATCTAAAAGTTAAAGTTGTCTTTAGGCTGTTTTTTATTTTGGCTGTAGATTCTTAAAAAAATTTTGAAAAAGTATTTTTTAGGAGATTTACCAAATACTAATATCAGTTTATGCTACAAACAAAAGCTGGTTTTTAAAGGAAAAAGTAATACCAAACTAAGCCTAATAATATGGCATTTTAATAAATGTCAATACCTTACAATCTACCAAAAGTTTTGATGTGTTAAATGTTGTAGTTATATCAAATGGTTGAAAGAAAACGTGTAGAAACAACTGGTTAGTGATCATAATGAGGATCTTAAAGTAAATTCCAAAGATATGAGCCTTATTTGTTACTTCCCCCTCCCCACTTTTACCATCTTTACTCGAAATAAAATCAAACCATACCTTAAAAAAAAAAATTAAACCATGCTCATGCTCTTTCCTTTCCGTCCTTTTTTTTCTATTTCGAATTTAGAATAAATACTCATACTCCCAGCTAAAAGGAAAATGAAAAAAAAAAAAGGTAGAGTTGTGCAAAATAAGGCTGAAAATTGTTGGATCAATGGTGATTTTTTAGATGGCTAAATAGTTTTAACGTCATAATAATATTCTGATTGTTTAAGATCATATTGGACCGTTTAAAACTCATACATGAATAAATAAAAAAATTTAAAGTCTGTTTATTGTTGGTATACATTATCAACTTTGAACGTTAGATGATATGTTAAAGAGTGGTTCTATTCACACACCATTTTTTTCTCTCCACATCCCCTTTCAATTAAAACTTCTTATTAAAAAAGAGGCTCACATAAAATGACAAAAAGAAACATTATAATAGACTTAGTTACGTAATTAAATTTTATAATAAAAAGAAAATTAATAATTTTTTTCTCTCTACACACCCTACGTATTGTATCTCTAAATTTTCACTTTTCAGTTGACTATTCCAAAAATTTCATAGAAGCGTTTCAAATTGTTCTATGACAATGTTCATTTACCTTTTTTTCATTTCATTTTTTTTTTTTTTTTGCTATTCATTTCACTTTCTTAAGACTAATCATATTATTTTTCATTTTTTATAAAGTTTTGTTGATTGCAATTTGCATATTTTCTATTTCATTTTGTTCCCTTGTGGATCATATGGTTTTTAACAAGTTTTTTTTATACCAATTTGTCTTTTCTGAATGTACATATTAATATAATATAATTATGTTGATGTGCTGTTTAAGTTTTTATTAATTATTTTGAGTTGTTTTGCTTTCGTTTTTTCTTATTAATTGTTTATTTTTCTTTTTTGATTTCTTTTTTGATTATGCGATTTTATTTGTTTTTCTAAATAACAAATTAAAATAAAATGGTGGTGTAAAGAAAAAAATGAAGTGGTCAAAAAATTAATAATCTTATTAAAATAGTTAAGGTTAATTATGGAATAATATGGGTGTGTAAACGTAAATCTAATCTTTAAAAATTATGTGGAGTACTGTGTAGTTAGAATGGGGGTGTAGAGAGTAAAAAAAAAGTTGTGAATGGAACCACCCTATGTTAATATATAGTTACTTATTACTTGTTGCTATGTCTTGTAACTGGAATTTAACTTTTACTTATTTGAGTTTGAGAATAGTAATATTAATATACATGCTTTTAAGTTTTTAATCTTAAAATAACTTGAAAAGGACCACAAATAAAAAAGAAATCACAAGAAACCCTAAAAACCTTTAAAATTTTTCTTAGGTGATTCTTATTTTGTTCACAAATTCAACATAATTATGAAGTTAAAACATGATTTGGATTGGAATGAACCACCAAAAAATGGTTTGGTCCGATTTGGTTTCCTCTCACAAAATATTGTCATTTAGTTTGGATTTTTCTCAAATTGTCAAAATTGTTTGATCTCCTTTGGGTGTTGGAAACATAGGAGCTCCCAAGCGTTAAAGATAATCAAAGGTCCTTTTAATTTATGGGTTTAAGTCAGTGATTTTAATTTAGAATTTAAATTTTATGAGAGAACTCTTTGATGAGAACTTTTTTATTCAAAATTTTTATGAGAGAAAAAATTATAATATAATCAAAATCATAAATTTAAACGTGTGAATCAAATGAGCCCAAAACTTAGAGTCCTATTTAATTTATGGGTTTAAATCAATAATTCTTAATTTTAATATTTAAAATTTAAACTTTTTTAAAAAAAAAATACTGTAATAAAAATAAAATCATGAATATTAAGCAAACGAGCCCAGATTCACGTTGAAAGTAAATAATTATTCAATAACATTAAAAAAAAAAAAAACAATTAGATGAGGGAATTTGATTTTTAAATGGCAATAGTAACTGCCAGCAGATTTCAGAAACTTTTAGAAGCAAATAACATATTTTCCTACACATTTAAGTAAATAACATTTTAAATTAAAAGAGATGTATTTTTCCTTTTTAACCCTTGATTGTATTTTCTCCTCCGTCTCAGGTCTTTCCCTCCTCTCTCGTCTCTACAATATCTCTCTCCTCTTGGCTCTTCGGCAATCCTATCTCCGGCGACAACATCTCTCTCTCTCTCTCTCTCCGTCACCAACAACTGCAAGCCCCCGTCGGGCGAGATATACTCGCGAATGAGCTCTTCCGCGGCTGTAATAGCGCGATCTCCTCACCACCAACATCGTCGAGACGAAGATGTTGGGAATGTGTTTGTGCTTTTGACGGGAGAAGACACCATTAGGGAAAATGAGGCGAGGAGAGAGAATGAGGTTGTTGGTTCAGTGTTTGCGCTTTTGACGGAAGGAGAGATATGAAAGGGAAAATGAGGAGAGGAGAGAGAAAGGGGAAAAAGGGGCTTTGGTTTGCATAGCAGTATTTTTATTCTTATTTTTAAATCCTATTCATTTTATTAATTTAAATTTAAAATTTAAATTTTATTACAATAAAAAATTATAAAAAATAATTATATCTAATTTTTTTATTATAATAAAAAATTATTACATAAAATTATATCTCAATTCAAATTAAAAATTTGAATTAGTGAACTGAACGGACCTTAATTATAATATTTAAGGTTTTTTATTAGCTTGTAAAAATAGATTTATTCAAAAAATGCTATTTATTGCATTTTCATAAAACTTATGTCCTTAATTCTTCTATTATACTGGTAGTTTCAGTTTTTAATTATTAGATCTAATTAAAATTACATCAGATTAAAAAAATATGTAGAATAAATATATTTTAATATAGATCTGACGACTGAAGAATCACATACTATTAATAGTCTATTTTTACAAGAACTATCGGATAAAGTCTCTAATTTTTATTCCCCTCTTAGATTATTATGTATTTCTCCCATTCTCCCTTTTGGTTGTTGATGTGGTCAATCATGAACTAATCAATTCATGTATATCATCCACGGCCAAAACAAGGTAATAAAATTGTCTAAATTAAAGAAATCAAGACATTTATAGATAGATTATTAATCAAATTGCGCAGGTAAAAAAGGAAAAGGTAATAAAATTGTCTAAATTAAAGAAATCAAGACATTTATAGATAGATTATTAATCAAATTGCGCAGGTAAAAAAGGAAACGAAACAAAGAGAAAATATTATGTTGATACTCATACTATACGAAACATTCAATACGAGTGTTACAAACAATTAATTTGAAAGGAAAATTAGATAGAATCATAATTCTATGGGAAAGTAAATTGAATTTAAAATGAAATTATCAAAATATACATTGTATATAATTACCTTTTAGAGAAAATTACTGAACTTATGTTGCGTCTGAATTTTTAATTTTACTATTAATTAATATTTTTTTAACTAATATAATTTTATGATTAAAAATATTAATTAAAAGTAAAATAAAAATATATATTCATACACACGTTAAAAAGTATGTATCTCAATTTCTCTTACTTCTAAGATTTTTGTGAATTTGGGGCTATTATCTTGTCCAACATTCATCACCCCATTAGGCTCACTTTCCTATTCCCTTTCTCTCTCTTTTTTTAATAATAATTACACTGGTAAAATTTCATACTATAATTTAATAAAATTATCATAATATTATAAATATAGCAAAAATGACATAATTATTATCATAATAATGTCACATATTACATTATATAATGATATAATCATTTATTTTAATAACATCAAAATTTTACTATTCTTGTAATATTTTCAAAATTTTATTATATTTAAACTCTACTATTAAAATTTTACCATATGTGTAAATAGTCCATTAGGCTCACTTTCTTGTGATAAAAATTCTGCAAATTGATTGATTTTTTTAAAATAATTTGAATTTTTGAGCTGGCAGATATATCATTTCCTGATACTTTTTAGGAGGTGTATGAGATTTCAGTTGCTGTTTGTGCAGACACTGCTCTGCATTTCGAGATTAATAAAAGCCAGTTATTTTATGGAAAAAAAAAAACCACAAACACACACACATTCCTGTGACAATAACTTAACAATCTCCCAAAATTCTAATTATTTTGGGCTCCACAATGAATATTTTCTGTTCATAACACCACTAGATTAATCCACATAATAAATCTGTTAGCGTGTCAGACTTTAAAAATGTAGATATAGAATCCTTAAATTGATGTTACATTTAAAATCCTATCAGCCTCTCGCAAAAATTAGAATTTTAACAAACATCTTCATGCACCTTAATGCGATTCCCAACAGTTGATTTTACGTCAAAGATCTTCCACTCTTTCTTCACAGCTCTAGCACCACAACTGTTTACCAACAAAAAAGAATAAACATATCCAAGTTAAAGGAGTACAAAATAATAATTGTAATAATAGTAATTACAAATAATTAAATAAAAATAAAAAAAAAGGTTTGAGAGATGATTATACATTCTGAATCTGTTGTGATCCAATTTCCTTTCCTTGGTGGGTTGTGATCTGAATGATGAATGTTAGTGATTGAATATAGTGACCGTTGTGTGATTAGGGTTGAATCATTTTTCAATGAAGAAGGCGCTGAAATGGCTGAATAAGCAGAGGAGATTGTGGAGCAGCTTTCTACATCCCATCTAAAGCTGATCTTGGGCGATTCATTGCTGAGTTGATCATCATCGGGTACTGCTTTAAGAGCTCCTCTGTTTCTAAATTGCAGAACCTGATTTAACAAAATAGTACACCGCTTTAAGCCTCAAATCAAGCAACTTGACTACCAGTTCCATAAATATAGGCTCCCGTTTATTTCACCGAATTGAGTTTTGTTACAGTAAAAAGCTCTCAGAAACAATTACATCTAATTTTTTTACTACAGTAAAAAGCCCTCACATAAAGTCACATTTCAACTCGAATTAAAAATTCAAATCAGCGAACTAAACATAACCATAAACACATACATGTGTAACGAATCCGACATTTTAGAGAGTACATTTTTTTAACAAGTCTTACTTAAATTTTATGTGGTTACAAACACAGCCTATTGATAATTTTACACTTGCCTCTATCATCCTTCTCCTCCAATTTAAAAAAAAAAAACAAAAACAAAACAAAACCGAGAAGGGGCTAAAATTTATCTATACTCCCCCACAATTTTAATTATTAGAGATGCGGGGCCTTCTCAATTTGGGCATTAATAATTATAACATCTTCCACCTAATTACAAAATATCCAATCAACATGCAAAGTCTACTGGCACAATACAAAGTTCCCTCCACCTATCATTAAACATTATAGAGAAAGGCTCAAAATATCTAGAACTGAGGGTATAAAAATTAAAATGTGAGTATCTCTAAATTCAAAAAGGAAAAAAAGAAAAAAAAAAAAAAAGATTTTTACCTTTCGACCTATGAATTTACCCGCCCTCTCAGATTTAGCAGCCGCAGCCCACCTCAAAAGCTCCTTCATTCTTGACATGGTTTTGGCCTTATCCCTCTTGAGTTTTTCCTTCTTTTCTGATGTGCCAACACTTTGGTCGTTTGTGCTTGTATTGTTGGTTGACAATGTCGTTTCGCTTATCGGTAAAACCTTGTTGCCCGAATGATTAGTCTGATCCATCTTACTAATGCCTAAACCCCTAGCAATGTCTTCTTTCTTCATCTTCATGGAATTATTGATCTGATTTTGTCTTGTGTTGATGTCACTAGGCCTCTTCAAATTAGTAGTGTCGTAAAAGCAAGCGGTTGCTATATCCTTTCTACAAAGGAGAAACAACTTTAAGTACTTCTTAGTACCCGGTTTGCTTCCTTTGACGTTTTTAAATCTCCCATACACCCCACCATCACGCCTCAACACAATTATATGTTTTGGTCCAACCACATGATCATCTGAACAAGAGAAAAAAATTAAGTTGGTCAAATATAAATAATGCGATGGTTTTGAAAATGGGTTGTGAAACCATAAGAGCGTTCAGAGTAGGTGATATTTCTTTGGGCCTTACCACTAGCTATTTCCTTCTGGTTGGTAGGGCCTGGACCATCATCCTTTCCTTTGTCATGTGTTGCCTTGAAGAGCCATTGAAGAAACTGCTACAATATTAGACCAAGATGGGAAATATGTGAGCCTATGCAAAAAGTGTTTGTTTTTTACTATGAAGTTTTACACAATTGCTCACCTGCATGGTTTTATATGTATTTTGTGTCTCCTCTATATAGTGCCTTGAGTGAGAGAGAGAGTCAAGAGATGAGGATTTGATTATTTTAAGGTCAAATGGACAGCTCTGAGAGATCTACCCGTGCAGTTTCATACGCTAAAGATTCCTGTCTAGTGTTTTGAGGCTTTAGGGGAGAAGAAGACAAAGGAAAATTGAGTGAATATAAGGAAGACGTCCGGTGAGACAACCAAGCAGTGAGTGGGGAAGCGTTGGCTTGGGATTCTTAGTAACATGGAGATTAAATAAATAACATGATCATGTGGTTGGTATTAAGGAAATAGATTTTGATTTAGCTAAATGGGGTTTAGCATTGGTGGCATTTTGTTTGGCCATACACTTGTAAGTCCATGGCTCTACGATCTGGTTGGTTCCAGATTATGAAATGGTACGGACTCTTTCTCTCTCTGTTTTTTTTTTTTTACCGGTCACCAGTCAAAGATTTACTTGGGTGGAGTGTGAATGTGATGCATGCTATCTAATTACCCTTTTAATTAAACAAACCAAGGGATAAGCCTTATCCACTCGTTTGATGTTGACAAAGTCGGCCAATGCTCTAAAACCAACTTGTTTATAAAGTGAACCAAGTTGGGAGTTTCCAAGCTCAAAAGGCTAGATCTGTTTTGTTAGTCTCTTCTAAATGTCTAGCTGATAATCTAAACTAAAATATACACGTACACGCAACACTGCACAAGGCACTTGCTCTCCAATCAAGCTTGGCAAGCAGTCGCCTAATTGGACCGTTAAGAAGAAGCAAGGCCCTCCATTTTCTTAGGCAAAAAGACCAATTTTTTTTTTAATGAAATATTTACGATAGGATAGAAAAATACTTTACTAGTAGAGTTCTATCTTAAACCGTCATATTTATTTCGGGTTTGTTAATTTTACGTGCTTTTTTCATCTTATTGTGATTTTAACGAAATCTTATGTTAAGAAACAATAGGAAAAATGAAAATGGATTGGGAATGTGCATTGATACTGAACATCAGGCTTATATAAGTCAAAGGAAAAGGAAGGTTAATTAATAAAGACCACTGTGTGCAAAAAAAAAAAAAAAAAAGAGACTAAATTCACATTTTAGATTATGTTATAACAAATAAGGAAGATTCTTAACCTTTAGCTAACTTGATCTAGTTCATGATTTTAAATGATCCACAAACAGATTCCCCTGGCCCCTTCCATTCTGTTTCTCAGTCACCATTTAATAGTATTAACACCTATTATAGATGTTGATTAAGCATGTGGGCAAAGAGATATTTTTATGAAGGGAAAATAATTTGTCGCCTTAAGCTGTTATTCATGTGGGCACTAGAACAAGGACTAATAGGGGCTCACATGGGGAATGACATGAGGAAGGCATCTAATACTCTTGTAATTAACATGGCCAGACAAACATTTCAATCACTTGTTCAACTAGTTAATTACAAAAAAATGACTAAAGTCCTTACTCCAACTACGTTAAAGACACGAGCGGTGCTGAACACCACACACTAATAAACTACAGGTCCACAACATGAGGTCCAGAAATATACACACATTTTATTAGTTGTGCCCAAGCATTTTTCTACTTTGTGTCTGAGCTTGTTTGCCCTCTCATTTTCTTAGCTTTCAATGCCATCCTTTGGTTTGTGGCAGAAACTGCACATGCCGAGTCCACCAATATTGGCCGTTGAAAGAATATCAGTGGCTAAATCACATCACAGTCAAAGCATAAATAAAACAAAATAGCTGTACGGATCTGCAACTCCTAATTGGCCACATCAAGATCGTTATGTCGGAGAGAGGTCTAGAGAATTTTAGCTCTTTGAAATTTGGAGGAGTATGTGGAATAGTCGTAATCTTAAAAACCACCACGTTCCTTTTGTATATCTTGGCACAGGCGTATCAAATAACACAAGGAAGTACTAGCTGCTTGGAAAGTTCTAGATAATATTGCATGTAATGATATAGTGGTAGCTAAGCTGATTACTTCATGCAAGTTTGAATTGAATTATGGCAATCTTTTATTTTCATTTCTAGTCCATGATCAAATCTTTCGTTCTCAATTTTTGAAACGTTTCAAAAGGTGATCTCCATTATAAATTTGTCCCAACAAGGTCCATCAATTCATAAGACCATTAAAAAGAAAAAAATCGCGATGGCATGAGACACAAGACTACCGTGCGCAGTTAGGTGTTTTTGTTGGTTTTACGAGCTAGGGGAAAGGAGTTGATTCACAACTTTGATTTCGGAGCTTGAAGATGGTCTTTTTACCTACAACCATCAAAGCTTTTTAAAGAGTTTCCTCTCTTTGGGCGCCCCTTTGATTTTGCCCACCTAATCAGTCAAAGCTCTAGGAAGTTTGCCTCCAGATTCAAATTAATGGGCGCTGAGGATACAAATTATGCTCTAATGTTTCAATAACCTCTCACATGGCACAACCATCAGTGGTGGTGGCATGACAACAATAAGATGACCTACCAATCAGGGATCCACCCCTCTTTTTTTTTTTTTTTTTTTTTTTTTTTTTTTTTTTTTCCAATTCCTTAGAATTCTTTAGTATAAAATAGACAAGATAATATGTAACTAAATTCCTCAATACATTATTAAAATATTTTATAAAATTTCTGAAATCTAGTTCCGTAAAACTAAAATTTATTTTCCATCGTCAGAATACCTTTAATAGTAAACACTAAACAGCCTTACCAGGAAAGAAAAGAAAAAGAAAAAGAAAAAGGAAAAAAAAAAAAAAAACCCCCAAAGGTCTCAAGTCAATACAAGCCTTTCTAATTCTAGTGAGATTAGCTGCCTGGCCAGGGACCTGGCTTTCTGCCGTACTTTGCAATTCATCTCCTATTCTACATTACAATTTCTCATTCAACTAGAGGCACCGCTGTCCCTTTTAGCAAAATTTTAGGTGCATTTGGAGGTCAAGTTCAAGCCACTAGAATTATAATAAACAGTATTTTCTCTCACAAAAATTTAAATTTAAAAAATTCTACTATAATATTTTCTCTCATAAAATTTAAATCTTAATTCAAACTAAGTGGTACCTTCCAAAGGGGCATATTAATCCATTACTAATTTTTATCTTTTGCAGAGGCTATATTGATTATTCAATTTGAAAAACAGATTATCATACAAAGAACCAATAAAACGGAATCAATACGATACAAGAAAAAGAAATTAACTGAACTTATCATACAAGTTGAACAACGGTAATCAGAAACGCGTAATTGCATGAAAACAATCTCCAACTGAATTTTAAACATTCACAATGATGCTGACTCTCTTTAGCCCCCAGCGAGCAGAATTTTCCACCTCTTTCCACTCCTATGTTGTTGGAGAATCGGCGCTAAACAAAAATCCCCTTTCAAACTCCCATCACATACATGCATTTATCTTCACACAAGCAATACCCAGGCCCACACTTTTAACCGAGCTGCTGGGCTTTTCTTGACTTTCTGAAACCAAAGTTCCCTACCACAAAAAGGCCGTGAAACACAGCTTTCTGCACATTACTGGGAACAATTATGGTGGTGACACCAACTGGGTCAGATCAGACCAAGGGCAAATAATGCCCATGTACAAATCCAGCATCAAGAAATCAAAGTTGTTTCAAGAGACATGGGAAAATTTACCGGCAATAGGAATGGCACGACTCATGGTTGATCTTCATCTGATCTTGACCGTGTCAAACGCCTACGCCTTCTAGGAGGGGCTGGAGAGGTGTCTTCTCCATTGTCGCTAAGTATTCGAAGGTCATCTTCGTCGTCGTCGTCTTGAAGACCCAACAGATTCTCACCCCAGATCAACCGGCGATCGGAATTGGCTCCGCCTGAGCGCCTATGCCTTGTCCACGCCCTTGGCCGAGCTCGGTGATCCCCTGCATTGTCCATGTTGCCTATCATCTGGAACAGAAACAGAGTTGTCCACCATGGTCCGTTAGCGTCACCACCGGCCCTTTCGCCGCCTAGCCTATCTCCATTCTCAATGACATAGTCCCCGACCACGACAGCGCCAGGAATTGCCGAACGGATAGCACTGACGACATCACCAAGTTCTCTTTGGTGCTCAAGGCGTTGCCAAGCTCGTTCACGAGATGGGTCGATGTCAGATGGTCGAGTGGTAGGATGAACCCTCCGAGCATGTCGGCGGAGTTCTTGGTAGTTGCCGGAGAATGAGCAGGATTCACGGGAGCAGCTTCTTCTCTTCAAATTAAGGTGCTTTCTAGCCTCTTCTACGACCTCCCAGCCAAGAACAGTTCCTCTGCACAAAGGACATTTCAAGCTCAAATCGGACTCTGATGAATTCTCCACACCAAACTCATCAACTTCTACCCTTTCTCTTAAAGGCTCTGAATCAACAGCCTCCACAATGCCTTCCTGTGTTTCTAAAAGCCTATTTAGATCTCGAGTGTTATTTTCTCGCGGTTCTCCATGCAAATCAACAGATATAACAGCATTGCTTTCATTTAGGTTGTGATTTTGATTATCCTCATTCAAGTTTGGTCTCAAATTGTTCGAGTTTAGTGCTAAAGAACTGGATGGAGTTGGATTGTTCCTATTATTGGCTCTTATCTTTTTAAACCGGTCCAAGCAGTTTGAGTGCCTATAACTTGTGTCACATACATAAGACCTGCAACCCTTGTCATGCGAGCTGCAAAGTAGGAGAACAGCATTATGGGGGTGGTCCATGCAGATGGGGCATGAAATTTCATCCAGTTCTTTGTGAAGAGCACGCATATCTGAATCAGTACAAATTCTTCGATTGACACCAGCCATCTTGAAAAATACTGTGTAGTTTACTCGACACATATAATTCATCAGAACACTAGTACTCATAAATAATCAAATGCTTTATCAATTTTGAAAAAAGAAAATACACATGTACAACTATAACATTCAGTAACGACAAGAAAGAGAGGAGGAAATGAATCCTGGGCACATGTGTGCGTTTTGTGTATATGCATATATAAATTTTTTTATCCGCATAGCCAAGTTCAATACAGCCCATTATAGGCACACGAACACAACTAGAACCAATATTGATCACAACACAAATTTCATTATCTTATTCTGTAACATATGTGTGTTGGAAGAGAGACAGAGGGATAAACAGCAATGATCTTTCTTAACCTCTTTTCTCATCTTTCAGACTATTGTGAATAGCATCTTTATTCATTGATTCAATAGAACAAAACCCAAAATCCAATAGCTACAACAGTACTGAACGACCAACCAGTCAATCTAAAAAAGGTCTGCTACCCCGGTTTTTTTACTCTTAGGATCCTTATCAAAATGGTGAAGCCTCATAATTTTCGCAACCATCAATTCAACTAAAAGGGGGAGAAGGTTTTTTTTTTTTTTTTTTTTTTTTCCTCCTATAGAGCTATGTATGATATAAATCAAGCCCTTATGGAGTCCAAGGAAGACCTCTAAACTTACCGAGATTTATTTTCCCCCCCCCCCCCCCTTTTTTTTTTTTTTTCCTCCTATAGAGCTATGTATGATATAAATCAAGCCCTTATGGAGTCCAAGGAAGACCTCTAAACTTACCGAGATTTATTTTCCCCCCCCCCCCCCCCCCAATTTTTTTGTGTCATTCTCAATACTTTCGACGACTGGCTGCCTCAATCTGCCCCATAAACTTACCTTTAAGATTGTCCATAAGCCGCTAGTCTTAATACCACAATCACCTTTGTTATCTAATGATACAAGTCAAGCCTCAGTTAATGGCACAACACATTAGGAAAATATGGCCATTGACCTCTTATGGTCATTAGTTATAAACTAATTATCCATAAACTTCAAAGTAAACTACGAACCACAAAGTAAGATGATAAATGAAGACAGCTTGATAAGAAATGAATTTTAGTGAAACTACAAGCTACAAAGCATATTTTATTAGTCCCAAACTAATTTATTTTCAAACAAAAACAAAACAGAATGGAATGCTAATATGATGTAGGATTAATAGGTCCTACTGTTGTGAGATCAAATATTAACAACTCCTAAACAAGCAAACAACCCATAACAGAACGGCCGTTGTTTGAAGTTGAAAATATAACAAGATTATCAGGACAAAGAATCATTCAACAGCATTTAAACTTACCAAGAGGAGGAGCTCTAAATATATTCCCTACCGAGCTTCTGAATCTCTATTTCTGTTAGACTGATACCAATTGAAAATTACTGAATCTTTACCCAACTCTATAAAGAAAATCACAAGGCAAGCACTCTACAATGCTCCAAACTCCAAACTATGAAACAATTATGAAGCAACGGATAGCACTACAAAGCTTGAAACTACAGTTCTTGAATAATAATTAAGCAACTACTTCTCAAGCCACAAGGTCACCAATCAGTCCGAAGACCTGCAGTTATGTCAGGAAACAGATGTAATGATCACACAAACAACATATGGCGACAAAGTTTATCATTGAAAAATCTTTATTCACTAACTATAACATCTGAAGTTTGCGTGAAAAAAAAATACAAGTCCACCATAGCAAACAGATGCAAAAGGATGATAACAATCATAAATCGGCAACAAGCTATCCTCTACCCTGACACCTGAGATACTGACTCCACATCATTTTTCAAAGATCTCATATGCAAACACAATTATCACAATAAGTTAATAAGCCGTAGCAATAATACCACACATATATAATCAGGAAATATAATATATATACATATATATAAACTTGTATGTGTATTTGCAACCAATCAAATATCAGCAATTCAATGGGATTCTCAATTTAACCTTCAAATATGCAAGCTGTAATATGGTGGTAAAGAGGCATTATAAGATCCCAGTTTTTTCGTCCACTAAACGCAAACATCAAATTCAAAACAACCAAATAACCCCCCCCCCCCCCACAAAAAAAAAAAAAAGGCCATAAAAACCACACCGATCATCCATCTGCCACCAATTCGATTAAACCCTAACCCAAAACAACTCAATTACCAACAGATCCTTAAAAAAAAACTATAATTTGGTCCAGAATTTGACGGATTTATACATATAAAATAAAAGTACCTAATCAAAAAGAGGATCAGAGCTTAAATTAAATCGGCATCGAGCAAATTATCAGATCAAGATTGAATTACAGAAAAATTGAAACCTTAACGGAGGAAAAGAAGGCGAGAATTTACGAAAAGGAAATGAACTGAATCCGTTCTGAAATTGGTCTTGGTGAGATAGCGTAAGAGAACTTGCTGAGATATAGGAATCGGGAATTTTGGCGTGGAAAATGGAAATTGTAAATGGAAGAACTTTTATTTATAGGCCAAAATTTTGGGGTTCTGATTTATCGAAAGTAAAAAAAAAAAAAAAAAGAAGGGCTCTATGAAATGTGAATTATCGAAAAAAAAAAAATGGAGGGCTGTGGGACTTTGAGTAGTGTTATAAATTTTAAAAAATTCCTTTTAGTTGTGTTAAAATAAAAAATAATTGTCACAGAAGTAATTGAGTATTTAATAAATTATAATTATATAAATGTTATTTTTTTTAAAATAATTATATAAATATTGTTGGTTTTAAAAATAATATAATAACGTTAGATAAATTGTGAGGTTGAATTTCTGTAGATAGTTAAGATGGTTGTAATTAATAACATTAAATTAATATATAAAATAAATAATAATTGATAATTATTTAGGAAATAAAAATGAATATATTAATAATATAATAATGAATAAATTATCATTAATGAATACATTAGTAATTAAACTATATATATATATTAAATTAATATGCTAAATAATTAAAAATAGTAATTAGTAATTAATTATAAGTAATTATTATGTTAGTAATGTACTTATATTTATTAGATTATAAATAATTAATTAGTATATTAAGAAAATAATTAATATATACATAATTTATTAATATTCCTTTTACTACTTAAATTATTAACTTTTACTTACATGATTAAATAATTAGTTAATTAAAGATTAATGTTTAATTAATAATCTATTATTTGATACATCACATGATCCATTTTTAATAATCATTATTTTTATAATAATTTTTTATTAATATATTACATATTAATAATTATAATTTAATATTAATTATTAATTGAGTAATTACTATTTATTTTTTATTTACCCAATATTTACTAATTAATAGATTATAATTAACATAATATATAATTTATATTAATTATTAATTATTTATTTAATAACCTATTATTACTTGTTATATTGTTAATATGTTATATAATTAATTTTTTATAATTAATTTTTAACTAAATAAATAATGATTATTTTATTTTATTAACAAAAATAAAAACTTAATATTAATAAATTAATATTTAATTAATACTGAAGTAATTACTATTTATGTCACGACTCCAAAGATGAGACCGTGATTATTAGGATTTAATTAATGAAAATTAACTTAATTACACTGAGAAAAATGCATATTCACAAAGTAGATATTAAAAGATATTGCTTTGGAGTCTTTCTTTTATAAACAATATTTAAAACGGTTTATAAAATCTAAGAAAAATAATACAACTATGGGACAATGTTGACCAATATAGTTTATATACAGAAATATAGTACATCTGAGAATTAAAAACTGTAAATTCAAAACAAATGAACCACTTCGAATCTCGCGCCTTCAATCCATTGGCATTCACTTGTCGTGTTGTAAATCTAAACCGTTAACTCTCGAGAGGGGTTAAAACATTGAAAACATAATAAAAGCGAGTGGAATGCCCAATAGGATATATTTTAGAAAACTTTATAAATAAATAAAAATGCACAGTCCTAACACATCAGCCAGAACCAAACATTCTTTTTTTGATATGAAAATAAACTAAAATTCAAGTTATAGGCATAAACAAGTAATTTATAGCTATGATAAATTACTTACAACCAATAGCAAGGCCATAATCTACCGTAGTGGCCCGTCCGGATTTTGGGTCCTACTCCTAAGGATATGATCTCCATATCTTGATTTCTAGGCCATCAGCGGGTTTACCAGTTCGCAAGATATCTTATTTTGAAAAAAATATATATTAAAACTTTAAATCAGTTCATTATAAGTTCAATAGCAATAATCATGCTATTGTCTTAAACTACTTTTCTTTATCAAACATATTTTATCTTTAAAAATATTTACATATGCCAAAACACTTTAAAACAGGCTAACAAGGATATGAAAAAGAATATCCTACCTCTTAACTTCACGTTGTCCAACCGTATATTCTTGAAGATCTACGTCCGATCGTGCCGCTAGCTTCGTAATCAAAACAATATATAAGAACTTAGTTATCACCTCTAAAATAATTCTAGTTCAATTATGTTCAATTGCTTCCTATTAGTGTGCCTTGACTCAAATCTAAGGTTTGTAACCAATTTTCATAATTCAATTTGGAATTCTTTAAAAATTTAAACTCAAACAATTAATTTGGTTTCTAATTGAAATTTAGCTCAAAAATAAGTTTTTTTTAAGGAATTTCAGCAGCATTTCAACATCAGTAAGTAAATGCCAAAACCTGCAGTTTGAGTTTAGTTCCAAAACAAATTTTCAGGAAATTACTAAAATCGGTTTCCAAACACTTCAATAAGTTGAATAACTGAAAACCCCTAAATTTAATCCGAGTTCAACCACAATTTGTTCAAATTTAAACCCTAACCAAAATTCATCAAATCTAACCAAAATCACAATTCCTCAAGTTAGAAATTCAAATCAATGAGTGGGTTTCAAGGGGTTTTACCTCAAATTAGTTGATGGAGCCGTTCTCTCTTTTCTCTGTTTTTTTTCCTTGTTGTTCGGCCACGAACAACCAAAGAGAGAGAAAGAGGGAGAAAAGATAGAGGGCCGGGAAAGAGAGGGCGCGGGAGAAGGGGGAGAGAGCGCCAGCGAGAGGGAGAGAGAATGAGTGGGTAGCGTCGTTGAAGGGAAGCAAAGGAGAGAAAGAAGAGAAAAGGAAAGAGAACAAAGAGAGGGAGCAGCTATGGGGAAAGGAGGAGAAAAGAAAAGAAAGAAAAGAAAAGGAAGAGAGAGAGAAAAGGAAAAGAAAGAAAGAAAAAGGAAAAAGAATAGGAAGGACAAATTTAAAAATATACAGTAAAGGGTGTTTAGAAGGAAAAGTAAAAGTAAATGTATTTTCAAAATTAAGTACTTAAAATTTTTTAATGACATGATTAATTAAGAAAAACTAATATTAGGTACACTAATATATCACAGTTAACATAATTAAACATGTTTAATTCTTCGAGGTGTTATAATTTATTAGTTATTAAGTATATCTATTTATTAATTATTAATTAATATACAATATAATTAGTAATTAATAATTAATTATTTAATATAACTTTGTTAATAATAATTAATTGTATTATGCTGATTCTCGCACGATCTAAAAGCCAAAGTTACCTTTAGACTGCTTCTGATTTTGACTGTAGATGCTTCAAAAATTCTTTAAAAATCACTTTTTATGGGTTTTACCAAACACCATTATCAACTTCTGATGGCTAAAGAAGTGATTTTGAGCTCCAAGAAGCACTATCAAACACACTTTTTCTGTCCCTACCACTTACTTACCCAGGTGGAGGAGAGACCCGGCAATCTAGGCTTGCCTTTTCCTTTGCATCATGTTTAGTAGCTTGTATTGTATTTACAATACGGTATTTGATATTAGGATATATTGTGTAAAGGGTTAAAATGTAAAATTTTAAAAATTTTAGGATTAAAATGTAAATTTTAAACATTTTGGGTCAAAATATAATTTTCTAAAAGTTTTAGAGTCAAAATGTAATTTTGTTAAAATATAGGATAAAAATGTAATTTTATAAAAATGTTAGGGTCAAAACGTATTTTATACAAATTGAGGGGTCAAAATGTAAATTTTAGAAAATATAAATTTGCAGTGTGCCCCCTGAAAAATGTAAAAGAAGTTTCTTAAACAATTATAGGCTCCGGTATGACTCTATGACTGTCTAATCCCGACCCCAGTCGTGTCCAATCCCGACATAAATCATGGATTTGTTATAGAATAATTCAATACAATACGCTAAAAATAAGTTATATTCAATAATACGACATAGATCGTATCAATTTACCTTCCGTATTAAGTTATATTATATGATAGTCATACCAAACATTGTATTAATGTATTCAGTGACAGATCTAAAAAAATTTCAAGGGCGGCATAATGGAACTAAAATCTTAAAGTGAAAATTACAATTCAACTATATTTTCTTAACTTTGTCTCTCTTTTTACCTTCATTTTATTTACTTTATTATCATCTTTATTCTTCTTCCTAATGTAAGCTTGTAATAGAATTTAATCTACTTTTTAAAATTAAAGTCCATAAAACATAAGTTTACATAGTACTATAATTGACTTAGTTTATTTGAGGTTTTAAGATTGAAAATGAGTATATTTAAAGCTTAAATATTAGAGCATGACAGGAGCCATTGGGCCGGAGGCAACTGCCACTCGTGACCCCAATGTAGCTCCACTCTTAAATGTATTATTATACAATGCATTGTTTTAATGCGGTCAAATAAACATAACCATAATGTGTTGATTCATGGATGTGCAAGAGCCATAGCGCTTGGGAGGTTGTTGAAGTTAACAACTTATTGGGTCAAAAGAAAAGGGGTTTGGTTGAAAACGGATATGGGTATGTGGTTGTACATTGGTACTTGGGTTTTGCAGACTGCAAGAGTTTGAGGTTAGTGTGGAGCTAATATATGAAATGATGAATTTTAGGTTTGTCCCGAGTGAGGCATTTCCTTATGGGTGTGGAGAATGGATTGAGGAATGCAGGGGAAGAGCAAAGATGCTTTTGATTATAGTAAATAAGGTGGGTGGAGTTGGGGTTGTGCATAAATTGCTTGTTTACAGTTCACTGATTAATTTCACGTTGTGTGAAGATATACTGAAATAAACAAGACGAAGTCACTTTCTAGTAACACCATGAGAGCCTTTGAATTGCTTGATGAAATAATAGAGAAGGCAGAGTATTTCTAAACCTTCGTTATGATATCAAACCTAATTGAGCCTTTGAATTCTCACACCTGATACTTAAAACCTCTAATAATTGGCCTTTGTAGATGACTTCCATAAGTGTAAAGCTTGAAAGGCTTTTAGCTAAGAGTGAAGCTAATAAGTCCAAATCCTTTAGATTGCCCCCTTTAAAAGTGATGTCTTTAGACCTTGAAGAAGAAGTGGAGTTGTGGAGAGCTTTGAAGTCGTCCACGGCTAAATTGCCTTATGCATCCAAGAATTTTGTG